CCCCAAAATCGCCTCACCTCTCCAGAATCTTGTCCACTTTGTCGCTGACCTTGGACAGACTGAGCCTGACCTCCGTGTTCTGTTGCCGCGTCTCTGTGAGGAGGACAGGGGCTAGGGGGTCTCCTGGGGCGGAGTTTGAGGGGGTCGCCGAGTGAGACGGAGGCTGAGGGGAGGCTACTGAGCTCATTGCTACATAGACCTCGTCACCATTCCACCAGACAGACATTGTCACCATATCACCACACATACACCATACCATCCGACAGAAACACCATACCAAGAGACAGACACACACCACACCAACAGACACACCATATCAAGAGACAGACACACACCACACCAACAGACACACCATACCAACAGACAGACACATACCATACCATCCGACAGACACACCATATCACCATACAGACACCATCACCATCCAAAGCCAAGCCATTTGTTGGGATTTTTTTGGTGAGCACAATACACAGAAACACAATATCCCCGGAGAGGTTGTATCATTTGTTTGGTGTTGTTTTAAATTTTCAATTTGGTAGTTGAAATTGGTATGTGAAGAAAGCCAGTAGCAAATTATCCCAGGCATGCATGGGTGAGGGTAATCATAGTGCATAAAGCCAGATACAGTGGCATGTGTTGTGAAATTTCAAGTCAATTTCAGTGTTGCAATAGAAAGTCAATCATCAGAGAGACCATTTGGGGGGTTAAAAGAATGTTACAGGGCACACAAAGTCACCATCAAATGGATCATTACAATTCATTATGTGGCCCGTGAATGAAAGGTGATGATATCAACATATGGCACACAAGTCATCATCAGACACATCATTACGTGATGATGAGAGAAAGTCGGCGATATATTCAGCCAGAATCAGTCATTCACACACCAGTTTCAAGATATTCCATCCAACGACCCAAGCAAGCAGCCAGCAGGTGCACAAGGCAACAGAGTACAGTTACCAACATTGCACACAATTCATCATCAAAGAAAATTAGTTAGTGAGCAAACAACCAGTTGCACAAAAATGATGAATGCAAACAGTCACGATGTATGCAGTAACGCATCATGTTTGAGAATAACACACAGTAAAACCATCACCATATAGAGTGAGTTAGTGACACAACACATAGCAGAGCGTACAGTGAAACCAAACCATCACCACACACAGCCAGCGAGTTAGTAAATGTCGAAACAGCAGAACCGGTAGAGACGACACAGCCAGTTTGTTAGTATACGATGAACATTTCGCCGGACACACCAGACAAGCCATCAGAGCACAGGGTGAGTACATTGGTACATAATGCAGGCAGGCAGGCAGTCCCATCCAGTCCCGTGGTAGTGGTCAGACGGTCAGAAGAATTGAGGTTAAAGGTACACACATGTAGATGGCCGTCCATACCAGGAGCACATGGTGTCAGACACATGTACAAAGTTAGATACACGTGCAGCCAAAGTCCACAGCAAATAGCAGGTTACACAGATCAAGCATCACATCACATGCAGGACCAACAGAAAACAGAAAAAAAGAAACAATTTGTTAGCAAAAGCACTACGAAATTCCATTTGTCTTCAGCAACAGGGCTTTATGTGTCACCTCGTAGTGGAATCAGGCGTTCGTCAATTTTGGGGCATATGGAGTTATTAGTATTATCTTGAAGCTTGTTCATTTGTCTTGCATTTGGCAAAAAAAACCCACCTATATATTTTGAATAGATTCGAGATATTTGTGATTTAAAGAGGTGGGAGTCGCCTGGTGTCAAAGGTACAATAAGCAAGAAAATGGCCACAAAAGTTTGATGACTTGTAAGGCTCAAATGTCCTTGAAAACTAGACGTTTACATTGTTTGTGCCTATGAACACATTTTTTCATCAAAATCCACACAGAAATGTGTTTTCAAAAGGACATTAAAGATGTTGAGCCAAAAACGAAAAAAAATTTTTAAAATAGCCCGATGGTCAGAAAACCTCTGGTTTCTTTGATTTCATTATTTTGACGAGCGCTTGATTTTACCACGCTGCTTCTAATATAAGGTTTCTTTAATGTTGTTAAATCATCTACATCAACAACAGGGCTTTACATAAGGCCTCATTGTATCACCTAGATCAGCAATAAAACTTTGTATAAGGTTTCATTGCATCACCTTGAACATTCATTTACCTAAATCCTGGATCAAATATTTCACTTACTCTGAAAATACCACACCAACCCATATAAAGTGATAAACATCCCACTTTCACCAAAGAAAACAAAAATTAGTGCAAAAATTGTCAGAGCTGCTGCAAGTCAGCAGGAAACTACTTGTGGGGAAAATGTCAGACCTCATAGAGACCCCATACTCCCATTTCCAGTTTACACAGCAGAACACAGTATTTAGTTGAGTTTTTAAAATAATTAATCCGCAAATAAAGGCAGAAGCAAGAGGTTCATTTATTTGTGCTCTATGTTCTACATAAATAAACATTACTACAAAAATAGCGTTCTTAAATAAAACACTTTCCCAAAAAATAACCTGTAAATGTGCTACCTAAGGAAAGATTTGAAAAACTGTAAATGTGCTTCCCACTTTCACACATTTCAACTTTCACAAAAGAGTTCATGTAACGGATGCTTTAAATAAATTTGTACAAAAAGAATTCCACCTGAACTAGCCTTTACATGGTAAAAGGAAAAAAAATTCTCAAAATATTGGAAGTTTAGGGTAAAATTTTCCTGTTAGTAGATAACTAAAAAGTCCTTGTTATGTAAAAGGTGAAAAATGTGGTGTTCAAACTTTATAAGAGTTATAAAGACCAAAAAAAGAAATGATATGAAACTGACACACACTAATAGTAATATAAACATAAAGACACATTGGAAAAACCACCAAGTCATATTTTAGGGTTTAGAAAAAAACCCATATCGCAAAGCTCAAAACACAGTACTCCGATCGTTTTCTTATTTTCTTTGCGACAGTTTGTGAGACTAAACTAAGGAAGTAGAGCACCTGCTAAAGGCAGTAACTCAATAATCTCAAGTTTGTGACTTTGATGGGTTTTTCCATTGTGATTTTGCCATGCACTATGCTAAACTAAAAGCAAGAAGTTACCACAATGACAGAAAGCAAGGCCCAGCAATAGTGTGAAGAAGTAAGATGTGCTAAAGGCTACATAGAGCGCAGCATACAAAGTATATAATATAGTATCCAGCTAAGGACGAGAGCAGCTAATAGATATATATATAAAACGTGTGCTAAAGAAAAATTATTAAAACCGAGACAAGGTCAGGGTCATTTAATTGCAGACAGAATTCAGAAATCTAATACAGTAGTCTCCGTCTAAAATACCAGTGCTCCGGAGCAAGGAAAATGTGGTATCTTGGGCGAACGGGATCTTAGTCGACGCACCAAGGGAAGAATCTACGGCGACTCATGTTCAGGCCCACAACCCGTAAAATGGTCTCCCCTTACTCTGAAATGAATTGGTGTGACCCTTGGTGGGTTTATGACTTCTGGCGAGCAAAGAGGGGTCAACTTTGCTGACCCATCACAGTGGCATGAGGTATGCCATTCACTTATTATCCTATCGTGAGCCTCAAGATCTTCGTTTACCCAGTTGCTCCTCCTTTTACCTGTCCAAATTTTATGGCTTTCCATCTCTAACCAAGCTACCCGGCCTATGTCATTAAGCGAACTGGGATCATAAGCAGGTGGAGACTACTGTGTGAGGAAATTAACTCCCTCTGTGGTATAGCAGTTAGGTTCTTCACAGTTGCAAATGGAAGACAAGGTTCTATTTTCAAACGAGGATGTTTATTTTATCAAGTATCTACATCTGTCTGCTGAGATACTGTATCTCATTCAGCCCACACTGCCTCTGACAAGCAGGGTCAAAGCAGCACGCCTCCTAAATAATGTAAATTGTGTCGATGAGGGCGTAAAACACTTAGATACCAAAAAAAGAAAAAAATTTTTCCATCAAAAGACACTAAAAAGATTTCGCTTTGCTCACCTCCATACGTCCCTGGTGTTGCTTGCCCTAGAAACTTTTGTTGTAAGAAAGAAAAAACAAAACAAAGCGTACATCAAGATTATTGCTATGTAATCAATTCAACAATCATATATTACGTGGATGATCGGAACAACAGCATATATCGTCTCCTCAGAACCATTTTGTCTAGAGTGTACTTAAGTAAAGAGGCACTTTGGACAAAATAGTTCTAAGGCCATGTGTACATGATCTCAATAACTGTGAGTGTGTGTGTGAGTGTGAGTGTGTGTGA